CTTGAAGAAAGCAAGAGACGGCTACAGAGGGATCTGGAAGCCACAGTTGGAGAGATGAGGAGAAAACGGCAGCCTATGACAAGCTAGAGAAGACCAAGAATCATCTTCAGCCAGAGTTGGAGGATGTGCTGGTGGACCTGGACAACCAGAGACAGCTGGTTTCAAATCTGGAGAAGAAACAACGGAAATTTGACCAGGTTGCATTTCTATGCTTCAGGTAATTTATCCTGATTTCCAGCACAATTACTGCTACTCATTGATTTTTTTTTCTCATTTAAGATGCTTGCTGATGAGAAGACCATCTCCAACAAGTATGCTCAGGAACGTGACTGCGCAGAGGCAGAGGCACGGGAGAAAGAGAAATGTTTGGCCCTCACTCGCGCACTCGAAGAATCCCAAGGTTCCTTACGAGAGTTAGAGAAACTCAATAAGACACTTCGCACTGAGATGGAAGGTCTGATCAGTTCAAAGGACGACACGGGCAGAAATGTAAGTTTTGTTTTACAGTAGCATGAATCTTGGACAGTAGTTCATAGCCAACTTCGAGATGCAGTTGTCCAAAATTAGATTACTAAATGTTGTGTATAAAAACTATGAAAGGTCCATGAGCTGGAGAAGGCAAAACGTGGATTGGAGGCTCGAGTGGAAGAGATGACAATTCAGATGGAGGAACTTGAGGATGAATTACAGACTGCAGAGGATGCTAAACTCCATCTGGAAGTCAATATGCAGGCCCTCAAAGTCCAATTTCAAAGAGACCTGCAGGCCAGAGAGGAGCAAAGTGAAGAGAAGAGGAAACAACTGCTCAAGCAGGTGAAGATCAATTTCTTTTATTTTACTTTTGTTGCTCAATGGGTAAGCAATGTCTGATTTTGTAGGTCTTCCTGAACTCTAGATTTCTTGTAGACTCCTTATTTTCCTCCAATCAGCATTAGCAAGAAAAGAGTTCTTCTCTTCTAATATTTACCCACTTGGCACACAGGTACTCGAGTTTGAGACTGAGCTAGAGGATGAGCAGAAAATGAGAACTTCATTGGCAGCTGCCAAGAAGAAACTTGAGGGTGATTTGCAGGACCTTAAAGACCAAGTTGATGCAATCAGCAGGGTGAGGGATGAGCCCATTAAACAGCTCCGCAAGACTCAGGTCAGAGGGTCAGTCCTTCAAATTCTTTTGGAGTTTCCCAAGCCTTTATCAAATTTCATCTATGTTAGGTGTCTTCCCAATGACAGACACAGATGAAAGATTCCCAGAGGGAGCTGGAAGATGCAAGAGCATCCCACAAGGAGGTTCTATCTGAAGCTAGAGAATCTGAGAGAAAGGCCCGAGCCATGGAGGCAGAAATCGTGCACTTACAGGAGGTATACATGATACCAAATGGTTGATTTCAACAGGCTTAAATATCTTGCCTTACAACTGTCAATGTCTTCGTAGGAACTGGCTACAGCAGAGAGAGCGCGCAAACAGGCTGAGCGAGAGAGAGATGACATAGCAGGGGAGATGGCAAGTTGGAAAAGTAAGTTGGGAATTAGTATTTGCAAAATGGAAGAATAAAGTTACAATATTAAAACTGAATATTTGGAATTTTAAAATTGTAAAATACAATATGCAATG